TCTCTAACTCTAGGAGGGGAATAAGGAGGCTGATAGGTATCCTAACGGGCCATTGCCCCTTGAGAAGACACCTCTTCATAATGGGTACTCTACCAGACCCCTTCTGCCGCTTCTGCAAAACAAAAGAAGAAACAGCTCGACACTACCTTGCAGAATGCGATAGGTATGCTAGGGAAAGATTTGATACTTTCGAAGGAGAGGACATAATCAAAATACTCCCCAGGATAAAATGGTCCACAATCTTGGGGTTTGTGAATAGGTCCAAAAGGTTTATGCAGGACTCGTGAGCAGACCAGGTCCCGGACCTTTTAGGGATGGGGTACGAGCCTACCCAGGCTTTTAACCCCTCGGGTCCTGGTCGCCCGCCCTTCATAATATATATGCCCATTAGCTAGTTTTAAGGTTAAAATTCCAACTGATCATTAAAAGAATAGCTTCTGCAGACGATGACTTAAACTTCCATATGGCTCAGCCTTGAATATAATGCACACTTGCTAGTTTTATGCTTAAAATTAAAAGAAGAGCTTCTGCAGACGATGACCTAAATTTAACTTAAAATTATAGCTAAAAATTGGGGTGGCTTGTAATTTTTCATGTTCTCTCTGAACATGCTTTGGAATTTAATGAATATAAGAGATGTTACAATTAATTAACAATTTATGATAACCCTTAAAATGGCGTAATAAATTAAATAAAGGCTAAATTGTAAAAATCTGACATTGTAATATTAAGAAAAAATTGGAGGAAAATATAAAATAATCAAAAAAACTTACAGCAAACGTGGTCACAGGCAGAATTGGCACTGACATGTTATCAGACATTGTTATAAAAAATATTCAATCTAATTTGAGAATTCTGTTGTTCTGCCTGTAAGGTATGAATACACCAGAGGATAGGTTGATAAACAATAAACAGTCGTTTATCTGTAAGGCTAAACACAATCACATGATCATGTATGGAGTAGGTGACGGTCGACCTTAGAGAAACAAAAACGTTACGACTTTACGTAGTAGTGACGAATTTATTTTGGTGAGCCTTGCTCATTTCTCTCGGGAAAGACCAATTACACTTTATTCATTTATTTATTTTACGAGCGTTAGCCAAATTACACAAGTATATAATTTTTTTTTACAGTGAGGACTTGGAGCTAAGTTCATGCAAACCACGTGGCCGGGCCAGGCAGGGAAAGAAAAAAGCCACTCGGATAATTCTTGACTAATCCTGTTAAAACCTTCGTTTCGCCAGGGATTTACCGAGAATGGGTTGGTGTTTAGTTACCATCCTCCTCCAAGCTCAGTTACCTACTTCGTAAGAAGTACTTTAATCTCGGAGTTATGTGAAGTCCCTTCGATACAGCCCATGGTCGACCAACATCCAAAGCCCCGGATGTGATATTACATTTCATTTCTAAGTTTGGCTAAGAATCATAAGATTAACTGTTGAGGTCGAAATATAAGAAAACATCGTTTGGCTAAGAAGTTAAAAAATTATTTATCCATATTGATTTATAGTTTAGTATTTAGTAGAGGTCGTTGAGGAGTGGAGTGTTTTGGCATAGGTATATAAAAGACAATCAATTACGAGGTGTGAAATACCGATAGAAATACAAATTGGACAGGGTTTAAGGTTTTTTTTCGGGGAAAAACTATGGGTAGCCTAGAGTGTCCGATTCGAAGCCGGGCCTGGTAAAGGACTGACAGCAAGTAGATAGGAATTTTATTTTACCTGTTTATAGTCCATACCATCTCCAAGTTTTTTTACTGCTTTCAATAAAAGGGTAATTTGAAATTTAAATTGGTAAATTTAAAGTTAATGACATTTAAATTCGTTAATTAGACGATAAAAACAGTTAATTTGGAATTAAAAAGAGTTAGTCATAGGTCAAGAAAGAATTAATTTGTTGAAAAAAAGTGTGTGGTTTATATAAAAAAAAATATTTTTTGCATTGTATAAATTCATTTTTTTCCACATCCTACATGTATTTGTTAAATTTAAACAATGTTTGTAAACCCCAGGCCCTGAAGATGATCTCAATAAAGATCGAAACGTAGGCACGATAAAGAAAACTTTTTTCTAAAACCTACATCACACCAGACCGCATCTCACGATTTTCAAATGATTGTTGAGAAAAAGGTTTCATATGAAATTTAAAAGTATTAATTTAATGGAATGAGGGTTAATTTTATGTCAAAAAGGAAGTAATTTGAAATGAAAAACTGTTAATTAGAAGTTCTTAATAATAATAATAATAAATAATAATAATTGTTATTAATTATTATAAATACTCATAAATTAATAATTAGAAATGCAAACATGATGGAAAAAGAGTTAATGGATTAATGTAAAGTTAAAAACTTTTAATTAGAAGTTAAAAAATGGTTCATTTGAAATTAAAGAGGTTTAAATTTAAAATCTATTTGATGCGAAAAAGGGATAATTTTAAATTACAAAGTGTTAATTTCATGCAAAAAAGTTAATTTGAAATTAAAAAGGGTTAATTTGTTCTGAAAAATGGTTAATTGTACTTTTCAGAAAGGATGGTTCTACTCCCGACTGTTAGTATACAAATGTAATAGGAAAATCATATGATATGTTATAGAGTTATACATATGATTTCTATTATTATATTTTAGGGTTAATTAAGTTAAACAGGGTTAATTTGAAATTAATAAAAGGTATTTTAAGTTAAATAGGTTTAATTTAAAACAAAAAGGGTTTATTTCAAATTTAAAAAGGTTAATTTGAAATAAAAAGACTTAATTTAAAAATAAAAAGGTTAATTTGAAGTTAAAAAGGGTTAATTTGAAATTAATAAAACTTAATTTGACGTTAAAATGGTTAATTTAAAACTAAAAATGGTTAATTTTAAATTAAAAAGGGATAATTTGACAGAGAAAACGATATCAGGCGCGTTCGGCATCCCGCTATATTTAGTCTTTAGTTTAACATTGGCGAACAATAAATGTTTCTTTTTCTAACGACCAATTGTTTTGCCTGATTGAAAATTTGTCAGACCCAACGCTGAAGATGGCGGGAAGCCGAAAACGCATTTGACAGACCGAAACAGCGATGATAGGCAACCGGAAACGACCAACTTTGCCATCCCGAAGACGACATGATTCCTAAGAATCGGCCGTTTGGGCGGAATAATCACCTTAATTTTCATCTGCCTTTGTTTCTATTGGTCAATTATTTTCCACAACGAAATGATGTCAATAGGCAGAAGTTTTCTTATCGAATTTCACCCTTCTAACCGTTAGTTTTGAAAAATACACCTCATGACAGGCATAGCAACGAGATGTTTATCGGTTGTCGTATTGACTCGTTTATGTTTAATAATATATCTACAATCTCTGTCATGTCTGATCAGGATGAAATCATTAGCGAAAGCCATTTTTATAATCATCTAACGCTTGGGCTACACAAGACTTTAAGTATGGAGCCAATTCGCAAGTTTTTTGAATATTTTTCTACTAATGAAACTTAAGAGTAAATTATTCAACAGGCGATATACCAGGTGTGCACGATATAAAGCTTGAACACAGGGAACCATGTGAGAAAGCTTCTGTAAACGCTTGGGAACAAAGGCATTCCTGCATTATGCCCTTTGATCTAAAAAACTTCTACTTGTCAACTGATGGATTCCATATGACTTGGTCATACATGATTGGAGGTAATTAAAAACAGAAAAGACCCTTTGATTAATTATTATGCTATTTAATTCACATGTATTTTAATTTTTTTCGTAACTTTTACAGTGTCAATTTTGTCTATATCTTATTTCACTGAATCATCCTTATTTTCAACAGGTGAAAGTGTATCGATAGGAACATTGCAGATCAACCCGCTTGCTAAGCTACAAAGAATTGCCGGATTATCTTCTGCTACTGTCGACTCTGATGGATATCCGACACTTCTCGATTTAGATCTACTTATACCCAAAAACCATCAAGAAATCCCCCTATTTAAATCGACTTGCAAAATATTCTGCCTGGACTCTTGTGGGAATATGGCCACGGTAAGATGTAAAGTTTTCTGAACCAAAACGTTCAATTTTTTATGTGTAAAATTTGAAATAGAAATAAGTCTTATTTGGGTGGACAAAATTTACATTTTTAAAGAAAAATCTTTGGGCATACTGTAAAAAAAAGGTTCTTTGGTTGATTTATATAAATCTATTTATACCTTACAGCTGTGGGTATCACCCATTTTGGTGTGTTTGATGGTCTGGAGTCAGACCTTGGTCTTACTGAATTGTGAAGGTAAGCTCCAGGGGCTATCATCAAGGCCATTTCAGCTTCCAACACTTGCAGTTTTAACCTAAACAAACTTACTTTCTCACTCATTCTTTCTTATTTACATACCACACTTAAGTAGGGTGATGGAGTAGACGTTATGCCTTCATCACCCTTTACACATAAAAATATCTACCCATAAAGTAACTAGTTGAATTGATTGATGGAGGTACTTTACATTCCATCTCTCTTACACTTCAGACACATTCATGCTTATAAATACATTCTCACGAAACAACACAGAATATACCACCAAACTTGTTATATACAATGATGATAACTTATAAAAATTAAATATATACATACAGAATTATCCAACTTTCCTCCATAAATCGGAAGAGTAGGGTACCCAAAGACTCTGTGGAGACACATATTAAATTACAAATATTTTTGTATACAGGTTTGTTTGGTGTATGTTGAATGCAAATTGAATCCAAGTATATGGCTTCTTGACCGAAGCTTAGAATGGCATTTTTTAGCATCATCATTTACACAATATTTCCGTATGATGCTTGTCTACCACGGATTGCCCGAATGGCAGCTCAAACTAACTCCAATGGGCTTAGCTCCTTGGGCTGAGGTAATTTATCAACACATGCATGATAAAGTTTTTAACAATAATTAACAAAAAAAAAATATATATATATATTTTCAGCAAATAGTGTATTCTTTTATGCCACACTTGAACTCGCCAACATTTTTAAGGAAAAACTTCATTAATTATGAGTCACAATTAGACTCATCTATTTTTAAAGTGAGGACTAAGCATACTAGAAAGAGCAAGACAGCTGAATTTAATGAACAACATGAATCAGCTAAGAAGTTACAGTAGAAATTTTTTTCCATGTGTGTACAAGTATTCAAAAATATACATGTAAGTTAAATACAGACCAATTTTATTTTAATAATTAGTTAATTTATTATACTCGTGTGGTTGGAAAGCATTTCCCTGATCTAGGCTTTGCCCATATCAGCCTTCTTCTAACTTTAGGATTGATATCCCAAGAATTCCAGTAATTCTGCTGAATTTTCCTTCTGGGATAACATTTTAATAAAACCTTCATCTATAGGATTGGTGTTTCTAGGACGCCTTAAATTTGGTTTCTTGAATGATTCCCTGCTTGGGTACCTTTTAACGGCCATTGTTTAGCAATGTAGCACGATGATTTTCTTTCTTCATGGGACTGATGATTCTGCTTCATCAAGGCTTAAAGGAATCATTATGACAAAAAGAACATTGCTACTCAGGGGCTACAAAAGGGTAAAAATCTATGGGAAAAATGAAACAACCTTTGATCCTTCATTCGTTTATAAACTGTGATTAATCCACAATGCCTCTCCAGGAACAAATAATAATGATAATAAATATTAAAAAAACATTAATTTTTCATTTGGCACTGGATCCGTCAAAAACTGCCAATGGTGTCAGCTTTGGTATTTAAAAAGAGATAAATTTTAATAATAAGAAAAATAAATTTATTTTATTGAATTACTTTAGTTTTTGTACTTAATTACACTATAATCAAATATTTTTTGGTTTTGTCTTTTCACAATTTGCAATTTTTTAGTCTATAGTCACTGCTCGACAAAAAGTTTGCTGGGTTAGGTTAAAGGGCATCTGTAAACCAACTCGGCAGCTAAGCATTTCAGGTCTTCTTTTAGGGTTGTTTGCATACCAAGTAATACGTTAGGTTTCATCGACCCAGTTTCTGTTCTGGATTAGATGGCATTTAATTGCAGTTTTCATAATTTGATGTTGGCATTCTATGAGTCCATTTGCTTTTGGGTGATATACTGTATGTTCTCAAATTGTTTTCCTTGGTTGGTTTTGACTTGGCTTAGCATGTCAAATCAAGAAATCCAAATGTTAATCAGTGTTTTGGTGATAATGTCGGTTGTCTGGTCTGGGATAGGCCACCAACCACTGGAACATCTGTAAGTCATAATAGCTCAAGTGGTTAGAGCAGCAGCACATTGAGCCAAAGGTCGTGGGTTTGAATCCTGCTCGTGACACTGGCTTCTTCATCTCAACCAAGACTAGATTAAAACTATAATTAATTAAAGTAATTTATAGTGTTGGGTGAGTCTTGAAAGGGTGTCTGAACTTTGCTGTCCGACCTGTTAATGTACAAACATTAAAGGTGAATTCCATAATATAAAAAAGTTGTTCTTGGTGATGTTTTCCTGGTTTCTCGTTGCACCCCATAAATTAGAAGTTTGTGGTCTGTGAACACGGTAAAGATTCAACCCTTAAATATGTGCCTGAAATGTTTGACGGCACTATAGACTGTCAGAAGTTCTCGGTCAAGTGCTTTATTTCATTGGAGGAGTTAGAAAGCAAGAAAAGAATGTGAGGTAATCTGCACAAGTTTGATTGATCAAGATTCCATGGCTAACGTCATTCTGTGCCTTTTGACACCTATCTCCTGTTCTGTAAATGAAGTAAACTGATGTAACCCGGTTTGTCAAGAATTTGATTTTTGACTCTGTTGTATTTCCTCCTACGTTGTGTTGTAGGTCCCAAAACATTTTCTCCTGTAGAGAAGTTTAGGTATTATTCAGCCACCAGCAGGACTTAGATAAGGTATAAAGAATGGGAGCTGGCAAATTTTCATATGTCATGTGATCTTTTTTTAAATATTTATTTAAAAATACTAAAATTCAACATATATGATACAATTAGAAAAGAATCCTCAAGTATATAATAATTTATTTATTTTTTTATCAGCGCTTAAAATTTTCTAATCTGTTTATGCATAACTTATGGTAATAGTCGTTGCATGTTGCCACAACCCCTTCAGTATTGTTATAGTTGGTATTTTTATCGTAAGGGTAAGAATTTCCTTTCATATCTGTCAGTTTTCCTCCCACGGCTGATAGTATAGCTTCGGGTGCACAAATGTCCCATCGTTTTGTACCAGGTACGGGGTAAACGTAAGCATGTGCCTTGCCTTCCATTAACATCAATACCTAAAAGAAGAAACATTTGTTAAAACAAATTTAACAAACATACAAATCTACTAATAAGGGACTAATAAGAATGCGAGAACACAGAATCCAACATAACTTAATTTTGGAGAAACTAGGTCAAAAAATATTAGACATGTCTGAGTATTTTTGTCAATGGGATTTAGGAGCGGAGAAACAATAATTTTTATGTAATTTATATATTTTTATTTTTATTATTGTTTAAAAAAATATTTTTTTTCTGCATTTATTATGTATTCAAGGTTATTATATATAAATTTAATTTGTTTTTATATTCCAGGATAAGAAAATAAAATGCAGGACCAGATTAAATGAGATTAGATATATGAAAAGTTACAAAAATGGATGACGCTTCTAATAAAGGAGGTTAAAAAGAAAAACTGGGTTTATTTTAAGAACCCTTCTTTAAAGCCGTAAACACAAATTTGTATAGAAAAATAAATAAATAAAAAATTAATTAATTAATAAAGGAGGAATTTTTGGACTGGATTAGCCCAGAACTGTTTTTCCCGGGTGTCCCGTTGTTATATTTAAAAATTCCTAACAACTATGGATTTTATCCAAATTCAATGTTGTGACAAATTTGAAAAGCAGGAATGTTCTACTTTCAGCCTACATCAATATCGCTTAGATTTTTAAGTCATTAGAAGTTAAAAAATAAGGATGAAATCAACAAAAACACTATAAACATTTTATTTTATTTCTCTAGTTCTAATTTATTCACTAAGGCAATGCTTGTGCATGTGCTTTATACAGTTCTAAATCCATATAAAGTTTCTGGTAGATTGGTAGAGTTTTAGATTTATCACCATTTTTGAGATTTAAAAAAAATATATATAATATAGTTGTTTTTCAGGGTTAACCTAGTTTGTTGAATCATTTGGTCCCTACATTAAAATTATATTCCTTTATGGTTCCATAAGCAAAAAAATGTCTTAAAAAAATCAGATTTGTCTTAAGCACACTTTAAAGCCCATAAATCCCAATTTTTATAGCAAACAAAAATTATGCTCCGTTTCATTTAAAAATTCACGACAACTATGGATTTTGTTAATTTATTCAAATTCAATGTTATGGCAGTCGTTAAAAAGCTGAATTGTTCTACTTTCATCCTACGTCAATAACACTTCAATTTTATCATTAAAAGTGGACAAAATGAGGATGAAAACAACAAAAACTTCCCGTTCTAAATTTTTAAAATTTCTCCAGTTTTAATTTATTAATTCAGGCAACATTTGTGGCATTACATTTATAAGCTTCTAAGCCCATGTAGCTTCTGGTAGATTGGTGGAGTAGTTTCAAAGTGATCACCAATTTGGTGATTTAAAAAAAAAATGTAAGGTAATTTTATTATTATAATTGTTATTTTTTTATTATTGTTTTTTTTTATTATTTTTGAGGGGGCATCAGTGATCACAAAGGTTTAAGCGTTGACAAGGCACTCATCACAAGGTCCCAGGTTCGAATTCAGCGGCCCTGCATTCAAACCCGACATTACTAACAAATGGATTTTTTCAAAAACACCGACACCTTGAGGGTTGATATATATTTATACTCTGCTGTTATGAATCCTTGTAAAAAAATTATATTCCTTCACACTTCGTTCAGTAAGTGATAAGAGTAATTTTTGTGCCATTATGTAATATTTTTTAGCAAGAAACAAAGCTGATATTCGCATTTGCCATCCAAACGCCTCCGATTTTTTTGTGTGAAAATGATAAAATCGATGATTACTTTGAAACAACTACTGGAAAATGTACAGTGGTTTAGAACCTTATAAACTGCACAAGTTGGCACAATCCCGGCCTCCGTAAATAAGTCAAAACTGGCTACATAAAAATAAATTAATTAGGTTAAAATTAAGAAGTTATGAATTTTTAAGTTGAACAATGGATAGGTAAAAAAATGACCGACGTTGATCTAGCACAAACATTTCTATTTTTTATTTGCTATAAATTCGTATTTAAGGATTTTAAAGTAAGTTTAAAATTATTAAAATTCTTTAAAAATATTTTTTGCCCACTTTACTCATAGTGTCTTTTTGTTCTTCTAATCTTTATGTATGTAATCTGCTTTAATACAATCTTGTATAATATTTTTTATCCTAGATAAAAATACAAATAGAATGTTATGTAATTATATTCAAATACATGCACAACAAAGATAGAAAACCATATTTAAACAAAATTATGTAAATTACTTCATTTTTTTTTACTCTTAAGGCCTGGCAAGAATGTTTGGACACGTGTCTACTATTTTCAATCTAATATCACGAAAAAAAGTTTTTTATTTATTTTTTAATGCCCTTATGACCTTTGCTTATTAGCCAAGGAAAGTGATATATGCAAGTGTATTCTTTATTTAGGAGTGGGAAGGGTTTTGTGCAAAAATGGCCAGAGGTGAAGGTGGTAATCAAACCCACAACTGCAGGGTCTAGAGCCAAGAGTCTTTTGACCACTTTGCTATCGCAGTCTTTAAAAGTTTTATTTAAATTGCTGACTCCATGTTTGTAGCCTCTCCTTGTAAGTTTCAAACTTGCTTGAAAACCCAATATACTTAAGAACTGTGAAGCAAGTTTAACTTTTCTTCAATTAACATATTTTAAAATGTAAATACCTTATATCCTGCTCCACCTTCCTTTTTCACTTGGTCCGGTTGTAACAGTTCAATGGCAGTTTCTATAAGAGGATTGAAATGAGATTTTGAAGTAGTTATGGTAAATTTTCCATCGGGTGGGGGAAGTGGTTCAAATCCACCTACACCCAATCCTTGAATGCCCCAGATCGTTCGACCTAACAAGTCTTCGTTTTTGTAATAGGGCTGATGAATGACCCCAGCTACAGACTTGTTTCCAACTACAATTCCAATTAGGACTGTGATATTTTCTAAAAATCCTAAAAACACAAATTAAACTGTACTGTTAATGTTCAGAGCAATGACAGAATAGCAGAAGAAAAAAAAAATCACGAAATATAAAAAGGAAGAAGGGTGAGAAAAAAAGAAAGATACCTTGTGTAAATTCTTTCGTTCCATCAAGTGGGTCAATCCATATAACAACCTACAAAAAAAAATTGAAATTTTTCTAATGAATTAGTCAACAAACTGCCAAAATTGCAAAAAAAATTTACATCTTCTTCTGTGACATTCATTAAATGCTCTGGGCACTGTTGCTTCAAAACTGATTCACACGGCTCATTTGCTATCCATTCTTCACGGATATTACTCAATTCATGTGGCCCTTCCTCACCTATTATTGTTACTTTTTGATACATACGAGAAAGGGATGCAATGATACTGCTCTGTGCTAATCTATCAGCTTCAGTCTGAAGGTCATCATTTCCCTGAAATAATTATAAAATTTAGCCACTAAACAAATCACCAACTGAAATAGTGCCGAAATAATTACTATCGGGTTGTCCGGAAAATAATGCAGGATTTTAAGTTTTCATTAAAAAAAATCTATATAAAATATTCTGTTTACGTTTACAGGATTACTCATTTGTATGAATGTCAACANGAAATTATTTTGATTAAAGAACATTGCTTTAAAGTAACTAGTTTCTTTTTTTTTTGTTTAATACCAAAATCCTGCATTATTTTCCGGACAACCCAATAGTATATATTACAGAAAAGGATATGTTTTACTGAACTGAAAGATTTTAATGGAATATAAGAAAAATGGAATATATTGCAGGATAAGATAATAAAAACTGGGAAGTATCTTCTTGAGTTTCCACAATAGACCAGTCATGCCATATCTGGTCGAATGGCTCAGTTACAGAAAGACACCTGACCAATACTGCTTTTACTCAAGAAAGGCTAAAAAAGTGTCCATCATACAACTGTGAGAAAAAAGTACTGCAAATACCCCCTAAATAAGATAGTATGACAGAAATTATTTTGCTTTTGGCACTGAGGCGGCAAAGTGATAAGGTTGTCCGACTCGTATTTGCCATGCTAGCAGTCCTGGGTTCACCTGACATAGCCCATGGAATTTTAATAGCGAATAATATGCAAAAAGTATTACAAGTTAATTTGACATCATGTCCTGAACATGCAACAGGTAGTTGGGAGTTAAGCCCTCCTGTACGACAATCAGTAAGACTTTGTCTAAATCAAAATAGGAGTCATTATGGAAAAAATTGGGAAAAAAAAGTAACCAATGTACAGAATTTAACATATTATCTAATTGGGTACTTCTATTATCTAATTGGTTCCAATTTTCCATAAGATTGTATTACCCCCGTGCATATCTGCTCGATGGCATGCAACGCTACCCTACTCTATGCTATGCGATCCCCACTGTCCAGGTTTTCGTCGGGTAGCATTGAGTACAGTTGAAGACAAAAGAACCAGACACTCATATTTTTATTCAAACTACATGTATTATTGTCGTTATATTAATTAAAACATACTTATTTTAATATAAACCAAATTAACAGAGATTAATAATTCATTAGTTTTGATTTTTTAAAAAAATTAATTTTAATGGTTTGGTAAAAAATTGATCAAAATACCATTTTTTGATATAATGAATTTAACTAACAATTTATTACACGGTTTTGCTCATAAAATTACACCATTTTCGTTGAGTAGCGTCAGAACAGGACACTCATATTTCTTGTAGTTTATTTCAAACTATGTATATGTAATTTTGTTGTTATATTAATTACGACATTCTTATTTTAATGTAAACCAAATCAAACGAGATCAAAAATTCATGTGTTTTTATAAAAATGATTTAATTATGATGGTTAGGAAGAAAATTGATCAAAACACCAGAATAACTTTATTTAAAACAATTAAATTTAATGAACAATTTATTACATGGTTGTGCTCATAAAATTTAACTAACAATTTATTACATGGTTGTGCTCAAAATAATGCATTAAGAACAAAAGAGGCGATGCGATTGTGATACACGCTTTGTGACTGTACGTGGCGTGCGCTTGACGTCGCATTGATGTGCACACCCTACTAAAATGAGACAAGGTGTCGGGTAGCGTTGCATCGGGTGTGTTTCCCGCTTAACTCTTAACTTGGCACAGAACAAAAATTGTGAAGGGGCGTCGGTGGCTGCAAGGTTTAGTCTTTGACACGGCGCTCATCACTGTAAGGTAAAGGTCCCAGGTTCGAATCCAGTGACCCTGCATTCAAGCCCAACATACTTACAAATAGGCTTTTTTCAAAAACATTGGCACCCTGAGGGTTGATATGACCTGCTGTTGCGAACCCTCGTAATTGTGGGATGCCTTAGTGGATTGTAAGAAGGGTTCAGGATGAAAAGGAATTGGGATGAGGGTCCTGGGTTTTATGGAAGTATCTGTATTTACTGCTTGTGGTTTTGAGGACAAATTAGTTTTGTATATGTAGATAGTAAGGATGGATGTAGGGGACCGTAGCAGCCAAGTGGTAAGATAAGGTGTCAGACCCTTGGCTAGTAGATCCCATAAACATGGGTTTGATTCATACCGTCGCCTCTGGATTTTTCTGGCGCATAATGGAGCTGTAGCTGCAATGTAAATTGACATGGCACTCAGGGTTGGATGAGAAGCAGGGAGCTTTGGCAATGGTTCAATGAATTTAGGACAAGACTGACTGGATTCTTTGTAACTTCTTTGAATGAAACATTTGGTTGAAATGTCTCAAAGGGCAATGGAGAAGTAACTTGGTGGAGAGGTGCCACACCACTTGTTACCTACTTCACATCTTACTTTACTAATCACATACACAAAATTTATTTGAACTCAAAACCACAAGCAGTTAATACAGAAGCTTCCATAAAACTCTGGACCCTCCTCCCAATCCCTTTTGATTCCTTGACCTTTCTGACAATCCGCTAAGACACCCCACAATTCTTTTTTATGCCAAGTTAGGGGTTAAGTCTCTAAAAGTTCCCCAATTAGAAATTATGTTAAATTCTACATTGGTTGATCTTTTTCAGACATTTCTCCATTTTTGCCATAATGATGGTTACTTTTATTTAGCCAAAGTCATATTATTGGCATACAGGAGGGCTTAATGTCTAACTACCTGTTGTGTGCCGGGCCAAGGGGTCAAATTAATTGCAATACTTTTATCATATTATTCGCAATTAAAATTTCATGGGCTATGCCAGGATTCCAACCCAGGACTGCTAGCATAGCAAATAGGGGTCCGGACAACATAACCACTCGGCCACCACGGTCTCAAAAGTAATGAAATTACTACCATTGGGTCTGCAGACAAGGGGTAAACCAATTTACAAGACTCTTTTCAATTAAATAAATATCCATGGGTTGTGCCAGGATTTGAACCCAGAACTGCTACCATATGAAATACAAATTGGAAAATCTTACTGATTGTAATATGTCTTGGAAATAGTTAATACATTTTTAAATAATGCAATGGTGCATTTCATTATAATTTTTTCCCGAGGTCAATTCCTATTCAATTTCCTTGAATCTTCATCGGATACCTAGATACAACTAGATAGACTTTTGCAAATATTACATAACCTCACTTATGCAACCAAGGACTGTAATTATCAGCAAGGACTTATTGTAAATATTCAAGGGAAGTTAAATAAAAAGTGATAAAAATCATATTTTAAATTGTGCCATTATTCTTAGAATAAAATTGAACTATTCAAATGAAAATATACTGTATTTGAAGCTACTTTGAAACGTGTTTATTATAAAAATAATTTAAAACATACATACATTTGAGAGAACCATGGTGGCAGAGTGGTTAGGACAAATGACTTGTATTAGGCAGTGTCTTAATTGGCAAATGGATGCATCATATATATTTGTGACCGAATAGTCAAAAGTGAAAGCAAATAAAAAAAAAATAAAATAAATAAATAAAAATATAACATAGAGGCTAATGCTGTTTTCTGGAGGACTGGATCGTTCGTATCTTCATCGGGTCTTTTCAGATGAAACTTGGACAGAGTCTAGAAAAACTACTGGCTCCAGATAGAACCTAACAACGTCTGTCATCAAAACTATAATATTATAAGGTGTTACCAGGGAATGACCAGGATGGTGACTCATGGATTTGCACCATACTTTTTTTTGGTGATTTTACACTCCAAAACATCAGACACATATACACCACTTCTTGTGAACGAACATACCCTGGTTTCGCCAATTTTTTTTTTAAGTTGAAATTTTCCGTTTCTTCTTGCTCAAATCAACTATGTGAATAATCCATTTTACAACATTTTTTATATAGATTAAATAGAAGTATAGTAAAGTTTATCAATAAAAATATTTTTCTAAAAACCAAATATTTTTCAAATAAACTGTCATAATATTTTGTTGTTGTGAAACGAATATGAATTTTGTTTTAGAACCTCTAGAGACCCCTAAACATAAATTTTTGTTCGAATTTAAATTTATGGAATTTTACCCATAAAATTTTTCCGATTTTTGAGAAGTTATGGGAATATCTGATTGAAACGGCTATAATTCAAAAACGGTTAAAAGGATTTAATGTCAAAAGTGCCATTTGATAGAAGAGGAACGTAGCTTTGTAACAATTGAGTACCATTGAAATATATAAAATATTTCTATAAGAAAATTCACAAACTAGCAAAATTATTTGTCAAAAATTAACCTAGTTTTTTTAATTGTCCGATTTTAATGTTTGATACAGTTATAAAATGCATTTGACAATTTCTTTAACCCTTTGGTTTTGGGCTTAGACGGTTTGTGTCCTTCCTGGTAATACACGGTTGTTTGTATGCTGAATGCACACCTTAAAAATTCCATTTTTTATAAGCCTCATAGATGTAATAAAAAATAATAAAAAATTCAGTGTAAAATAATATTAGCAGAATCAAAAGTTTTAATGAGTTCTATATGGTAGGTCACAATCCATCTGAGCAACCTACTATCACGGCGCCCATTTTTAAATTAAGTATGGTTTAATTAATATAACGACAATAATACATATAGTTTGAAATAAAAATATGTGTCCGGTTCTTTTTGTCTTCGACTGTACTCGATGCTACTCGACGAAAATCTGGACAGTGGGGAACTTGGTTGCATCGCGTAGCGTAGGCCGTAGAGTAGGGTAGCGTTGCGTGGCATCGGGCAGATATGCACGGGGGTAATACAATCTTATGGAAAATTGGACTTAAGTAGCGTTGCGTCGGGTGTGTTCCCCGCTTGCCTGGACCCAACGTGACCGCACCACGTGACGTCCAACAGTCGGCCGACTGGTGGTGACAGTGACGGAAGACCCCACTTGTCCGTACCGTGTTGTACAACACGTTGTTTAGTAACTTCAAAGCTACATTTCGTTGAGAAAAAATGTTAAGAAGTTTTAAAAATAGAGAATTATGGATGATAGCACTTGCTTTACCCGAAGATGTTAATTGGCGAAAAAATCATCGCTGAAAGAGAAGAATGTGGGCTAACAGCGCAAGGAAAAAAGATGTGTAGAAAGGGAATTAATTTATTTAATTAAATTATTTCAATTATTCCGTATTTCTATGTTTTTCATTGGACTGGTCATACAACACAGGAACTCTTTTCTGACCTCCTTAGTTAGTTTCTTTGCGTCCATTTAACAAAATAAAATTATACTGAGATTATAAAAATACAATGGAGAATGAATAGATGATACACGAAATATTAACAAATAAACTCTACACTGCACCTTCACACGATCCAAAACTAAACCAAACTTTATTCAGAAATCGTGAGATGCGGTCAGACTGCATCTCCCGATTTCTGAATAATTATCGATTAACGGTCACTAATCACCACACATTTCTAAACCAAACTATTCGGGCACAGTGCGGAGATGTGGGGGCTAGCCGGCTCACTTCCATTGTTAAGCTGGGCGCACACTAGTCTGTGGGACGGCACGGTATTGTGAAGGTCCGCACACTATGTAGGAACTACTCTCGGTCGCGTTGGTCGAATTTTCCCCCTCCATATGACTAGCGCTGCGGTTTAGTGTTGATTTTGCATTTCCAGGAGTCCCATGTCACAACCGTTGGCTTCGTCTTTACCCGCGCAGGCGGGTTCCAGAAGTCTGGCAACTTCGTCCGGTTCCGAGCCGCGCCGCCGACCTAGTGTGCGCCCAGCTTTATATTCGCTCTCCGTGTGATGATGCCAGACAGACGGCCGTCACGCGCTGCAGGCACGGGGCGGTCATGTAGGGACCGGCCTTAACGTTGCAACCACTGACGCCCCCCCCCTTATTTCACCAATTTTTAAAAACTAAATTTATTTCTAAAATATGTAAATGTAAGGAGGCTTAAAGTCCTATTTGCACCTTTAAAAAAATACATATATATAAATCAAGAAATATGACACTAACGTTGCGTTTAAATCGCTTATAATGAACACGTTGTTATTGGAAAAAGTGAGGTCCCAGTTCCCACTATGCCGGAAGGGCCAGTGGCTGTACATTTTATATGAAGTTGATCAAATTTAGCCGGATCCGGCAAAAATACCGAGCCCGGCATTTTCGTCAGACATTTTGTCACTACAGCAAAATGCCTGGGCTGGCGTAATGTGAACGAGCTTCTGCACTGCAGTAGCCTATTCATTAGGCAGCTCAGCAGGTTTGGAAAGGGTACAGAGGGTCCAGAAACATAGGCACCATTCTATAGGTCAGACGCTATGCATACATGGAATCAAACGCAAAAACTTTAATTTCGCTGGTCCAAGAGAGACCTGTAGTGTGGGATAAAACCCTCGACGAATACGAACAAAAACATCAAAAGATGATGTCATTCGAAAATAATTGAACTTTGTTTCGTCACTTCTCAGTCCACCCATTAATGTTTCAAATGTTCCTAGTGAAAATCTTTCCCGTAAAATAGGATGTACCCAATGTTTTCGTTTTACTCTATTTCGTCTAAAATACCACCACAACGCACCAATTTCGTCGTCTATCGAGCACTCAGGTCTGACCTCGACTGAGGTGAGGACTTGAGTCTCCGGTTTTCTTGCCGAATCCGGTCTAATGTGAACACTTATTGTCCGCCAAAACCGCCGAATGTTGATTAGAAATAGACTTACGGGAATTCTTAATAAATCGAATTAATCGGGTTAATGAAGCTTTTTTCGATATCTAATTTTAGTTGCAATTAAATGAGCATTTATCGTTATTTATTCAGAAATCGTGAGATGCGGTCTGGTGTGATGTAGGTTTCAGAAAAACATTTTCTTAATCGTGTCAACGTTTCGATCTTTAGTAAGATCATCTTCAGGGCCTGGGATTAACATTGTTTAAATTTAACAAATACATGTAAGATGTGGAAAAAAGTTAATTTATACGATGCAAAATATATTTTTTATATTCAATCAAAGTATTTCCACTCACTCAAAGTGTTGATCTTCTGTGCCATTCTTGCGTGTCGTGCTGAGAGTGACAGTGAGATATTGCTGTTTTATGTTTATATACATTGGATTTTGAAGGAGGGGGAAGGATGTCGGTGTAGAAAAGACATTTTCGTATAAGGCGTCGGCTTCTTTGAGATGAAAAGAGCCGACGAAGGGAAAAAATGTGTTGGTAATGGTTCGACCAGATTATCCTTTCAGGATTATATAGACGGGGATAAATAGGAAAAGGAAAGCTAAATTGTTGAAAAATTAGACTATGTGAAAAATGTTTGATGTGTGGAATGTGATGAGATGATATATGTGTGTTATCGATATTGAATTTGATTAATGATATTGGCGTAGCTGCGATTGAGTTATGTGTATCTGTTCTGTAATTGATGCTGTGTTTATCTCGGTTGATGTAAACCATTTCTAAAATTTTTTATCGTTATTTAGAGATAAAAAACATTTTGGTGAATTAATTTCATTGTTGGTTAACATGAAGAAAAAATGTTCAATTTTGCAGAATATTCTAATTTGAAATGATTTGAAAAGATAAATCAAGAAAATACTGCTTTTTTGTACATTTGAACCAACAGTCTGTAAGCAAAGTAGATAAGAAAAAGATCTAAACTTGACCTCAAATCGTCAGGTTCGTGATTCTAGCTTTATAAAACCCTTAGATATCGGAAATCGATGTAAATTAATTTTATCAAAAGCCAAAAGTTGGTTAAAAAAATCGATAAACTTGTCAATACACCAATCTGTATTGATTACGTAACTGTGAGGTAACGATAAAGGCCGGTTGCGGTATGGTAGAGATAAAAAGACTCAGTTGTTTATAAACTCCCTAAAGGTCAGTGCCACATTGATGCCGGATTTAATTTAAAATATTTTTATTAATGTAACATACATAAATTTTATTGTTAATTAATGTAGCCACGAAGATGGGAGCCGGGAAGATGGCCCCGAAATGCATTGCGGACAAATAAAAATAATAGAAAGGAAAAAAAGGTTGTTGAGTTCATCATTATCCTCGCCACTTGCAAAAAATAAAAAGGAAAAACAACAAACAAAAAGGAAAGAAGAAACCATAACGGTAAATTTAAATTCAAATATAAATTTTATATTTAGGGGTCTCTAGGTGTTAAAACGAAATTTCATGTTTCATGAAAAAAATATGACTTATTTTTCTTGAAAAATATTTCGTTTTTTGAAATAATTTTTGGTTATTGATTAACTTCGATAGCGTTTACCATACTTTTATTGTAATCAACATAAAAAGTGTGTTGAATGTTGAATAACTTTATTTAAAACAATTAAATTTAACTAACAATGTATTACATGGTTGTGCTCATAAAATTTAACTTACAACTTATTACATGGTTTTGCTCAAAATAATGCACTAACAGAAAAAGAGGCGTTGGACAAAATTTCATTTTAGTTTCACGACAAAAAAATGTTGTAAAATGGGGTATTCACATACCATATTGAGCAAAATGAAAAAAAAAAAAAAAAAGGCGAAACCAGGGCCTATTAACAAGAAGTGGTGTATGCCTGGTGTTTTGGAGTGTAAAATCAGCAAAAAAAATTTGGTCCAAATCCATGAACCACCATTCAAGGTCATTCCCCTGTAAGACCTTATAATATTATAGTTTTTAAATCCATTATATTTCGTGGTTCGATTGACCAAATAACTTATTTCAATTTATTAATCTTTATGTAAGGTTGAAATGAAAAAGTTACTGTCACGAGCGGGATCCGAACTCACGACCCGCTGCTCTACCACTTGAGCTATCGTGACTTCGATCCACTCGGACACCAACCTCCCATCTCAACCTACCTTTCGAATTTTCCCTCCTTTTTGTCATTTTTTTTTTCAAATGACTCAAATTCGAAAGGTAGGTTGAGATGGGAAATTGGTGTCGGAAAGAAGTCACGATAGCCCAAGTGGTAGAGCGGCGGCGTATTTACCCTTAAGGTCCGTGGGTTCGGATCCCGCTCGTTGCACTAGCTTTTTCATTTCGACCAATAACGGTTAATTAATTGAAATTAGTTGAAAGTTTTTGATGACAGACGATGTTAAGTTCTACCTGGAACCAGTCGTTCTTCTAGATTTGTCCAAGTTGTCATCTGAAGAGACCCGATGAAAATACGAAAGATCCAGTTTTTTTCTTAGTTTCAGCATCATTAGTTGATTTGATCAAGTATAAAGGCGAAATAAAAATATTAAAAAACGGAAAATTTTCTAAGAAAAAACAAGAAGCTAAACCAGGGCCTATTCACAAAAGTAGCGTATACGTCGTGCCCGATATTTTGGAGTGTAGAATTACCAAAAAAAAGTTTGATCCAAATCGTGACCCACCAACCTGGTCGGGCCCTTGTTAAAAAAAAAGCCGGCAAGGCAGCATGGAAGTTGAAAGTTTCTCTGATAAAATCGACAACGTAAGTACTTATCTATCTACTGTACTGGAAGTATGTGGGTACGTTGGTCACTAGACGGCTACAGATGACAACCATCCGAAGGCTGTACATGTACAGAACTTCTACTAAACTGGTTTTATTTAAATTGGTTGAATAATGAAGAGAAACAAAATCGTCCCTTTCATAACTCTGGGTATCCATTGTAAAGCTCTCTTTGAATCATCCGATGACAAGAGCAAATCATCAGAATAACAAGACAAGAGTGTCATGATTTGAAATATCAAGGGAAATATTAATTTGGTTTCAAATTTTACCTTGTCCCTTATTCCGAGGTCGCCTTTGTTCATGACATCTTTTATAATCGTTCCTGCTTTGGTCGCTGCGGTGACGGATGATCCGACGAGACGGAGTAACAAAGGTGCTGCTTGTGCCATGTCAACTGATGATTCGATTGATTTCCCTTTTGAACAACTGCTGAAGCTGACCTGATGAATTCGTAGTTTCGATGAACGTCTGTCAAACCCGGAATGACGTGAGAGTGCTGAAACAGGTGACCAGCCGGGAAGGAAAAAGGCGTTCTCACTGCCGGTTATCAGGAACTGACTCGCAATGGCAGTTGAAAAAGTCGGATGCCGCCGGCCGATCCCGGCGACGAAGCGAGACGAGGCGAGGATCGAGGCCACAGCCGTGAACGGAAAATTCCAGACCGCAGTCCAAGAACAGGAAAACCGCAAAAACAACCTTCGCTAGTATCGATGCATAGTGCTTCAAAAGTATCCATAGTATCGATAATTTTTCTCTATCGACCTAAATTTAGGCTATCAACTTCCAATTTTCCATCCGGCCAGCGGCCTTGCCGGCTTTCAACATAAACACAAACACACAACACACAAACACACAAACACTAAAAAATTCGTGTTTCTTACAATGACAGACGATGGGATGTTCGAACTAGAACCTTTGGAAAACGGAATCGAGCCAGTCGTTCTTCCTGATTCTGTACAAGTTGTCGTCGGAAGAGACCCGTCGACGAAGATAAGAGACGTCCACTGCTCCAGGAAACAGTGTAAGCCTTTCTTATTCTTTTTTTCAAATTTCCGTTCACTTTTGTCTATTCGGTCACGAATATACACCATTATTGCTTTTAATGACCAGAATTTCTTCTGTGCTTTGCGTATTCTTTCAATTTCCTTATTCAGTTGCTGGCCCAAATATATTCCATTATTACAGTAAAATGAACAGTAAGATAGGGGTAGACACACCGACACGCTTGTTCGTTAAAAATAGACTGGAAGTTAGGAAAAATCGTTTTGTTCATTTATCCTATCAGTTTTTGGCCTGTCTCCTCATCTTCTTTTTAAAATAATTTTGGATAAAATCCACCAACAAAGATGGCGGCATGGTAAAATACGTCTGACAGAACAATAGAACGATGACAGGCGACCAAAACACCACAAAGGACTAAACTACAGGTTCTGATGGACCACATGAAAACATATATCATTATTGTATCAATTTATCAAAATATTGTTTTAATGTAGATGCTTGCTTCCTGAGCCCATAAACTATAAAAGACTAGATTAAATGAACCCAGTATACCCAGTGTTGAATATGGTAACTTATGAAACATATCTGACCTATGAAAGGAACGATAAGCAGGCCAAAACGTTTGGAAAAGACCCACCCGCAGCTTCAACATTATGCAGCCACAATTTTTGGATGAAAGTGCAGCAAAAAATCAACAGTAGTGTTAGTTGTTTGTCCATTAGTTAGCAAAGCCAAAAGAACTGATCATTAGTAATTTTTTTAAATACTGTCAGTTAAAAGCACTGTCTTTTCCTCACAGGCTTTTTTTTTTCCAGATTCATTTGATTCTTTTAGCATCAACATTTGTTCATTTCATTGTTTCTAACATTTTATTCTGAGAGGGAGAAAATAACTATGACATCAGTGAATTGCAAGTTCTATCATAATTCCCTTTTCATTCCATTTTACTTTTAAAAAGATTTTTTGAAGGACCTTGTTGAATATATAGGGTGTCATTGATCCGATTGTACTATTTTTTTTACATTATATACAAGCATAAAAACAAAATACATTTCAATCTACTGTTCAATGGTTCAGTATCTGTCATAGATGATTGATGGGCAGCTATTTCCTGTACATTTGTAGCTTGATCATCCTTGGTATTCTTAGCATGCCTAGTCTTGCTGTCCATTTCAGTAGCTAAAACACCTAGACTGCAAAAGCCCGGATGACAGAGTGTGTTTCAACTTAAGGTGTTACAGACACGGACTCTTCTAATAACCGGACATTCTCATTTTCCTTGTACTCTATTTACTTTACTTACTTTACTAAGAAAAGAACTTGTAACGTGGTAATTCTAATTCTAGTCCACAGAAAGCAATTTCATGATTTATATTTTTTTCTATATGTGGTTCCTTTTATTAAGCAGATAATTTTAATCAATAACAAAATCCCATTGGTGGTGTCCAATTATGGGAAGTTTGACTGTATAGTGCAGATCACTGCTAGATGCAAATGCTGAATGCCATTTAAATTTATATTAATAAATGTTAATTTTTTTTCAGTGACTTTGTCTGCTGATTATAAGAACAAGGTTGTTAGTGTTACAAGGGCTGGACTCTGCCCTTCCGTATTGGATGGCAATATTATCGAAAAGGGCACCACATGTACTGGACAGGATCAAATGATTTTGGAATTGTTACCCGGCAAACTGAAATATAGAATAATTTGGAAAAAAATAAACCTGTTTGGCAAGCGTCGCACTACTGAAACGATGGATTCAAATTTAAATGTTTCCACCAAGAAAGTGCGTTCAAATTTTCAGTGGGATAAACTTGGTCATAGATCGACAGCATCTCAAAAAACACTGTTGCGTTGTCTGTATCATGCAGATGATTCGTCAAATGAATTGGCTCCTGTGAAGGTAATTTATTAAAAAAAAAAAAAAAATGTATAAAAATTGTACATAAGCTAATCCAGTGCCTATAGTTCGATAAACAGCTTATTATGTTTTGTTGCATACCTAGTATTACTAGTAACATTTCTAGATCTACTATGATATTTTTTCTAATTGATTGAATGTCGAACATTTAAATTATTAGTATTGAGTTGTAAAATAAGTCCATAGTGTTTTTTCAATAAGTTCTTCTTTTGCATTCAAGCAATGTCTATTTAGTAATTTTTCAGTTCAGCAGTTTTGCTAATTTAAAATATAGGTAAAAATAGTGCATTTTCAATATTTAATGTTTTTCTCTTTTTTATCTACCTAAATTAACCTAATGTAATCTGTCTCTTACCCAAAATCTATTTAAACTAACTAATGTAACCAGTCTAACCCAAAATACCCAAATTAACCTAACATAACCAGTCTCTAACCCCAAACTAACTCTAACCCAACTTAAATCAACCTAATGTAACCCAGCTCTAACTCAAAATACCTCAACTAACCTATTGTAACTGAACTCTTACATTAACACTGCTTAAACTAACCTAACCATAACTCATCTCTAAGCTTGAACTAACTCTAACCCTACGTAAATTAACCTAACATAACCCATCTTATTGTAAACTAACCCTAACTCTACCTAAACTAACTAATATAACCAGTCAAACCCAAAGTCCTCCAATTAACCTAACATAACCTGTCTCTAACCCTAAACTAATTCTAACCCTACCTTAACTAACCTAACGTAATCAGTCTCTAAACCTAAACTAACTCTAATCTTATGTAAACTAAGCTAACGTAATTTGTCTCTAACTCAAAAACTAAACTAACCTAATGTACCGGACTCTTACTCTAACCTTACTTAAACTAACCTAACCTAGCCAGTCTCTATCTAACCCTAAACTAGCTCTAACCCTACATAAACTAACCTAATGTATCCCGTCTCTAACTCAAAATTATTATTTTGCTATGATCTGCTTGTAAAGCAAATTGCTGTTGGTAAAGAAAAAAAAATTACAGACTTATTTTATGAGTAGGCAGTTGGATGATTATAGCCTTTTGTATTACATGAATTACTTTATTCTTTAATTATTTACTTATCATTAGATTTAAGAAAATGTAATTTTTTTTTTGTAGATTGCTGCCTTTGATTTAGACGGCACTATCATAAAAACTAAATCAGGTTACGTCTTTCCAAAAGGTTGTGATGATTGGATGCTTTGGGACATTAAAATCAAACCCACGTTAAAACAGCTGCATAAAGATGGTTATAAAATAGTCATTTTCACAAATCAGGCTTCACTGCGGTCTGAAAGTAATGTAGCAAATTTCAAGCAGAAAATAGAAAACATTTTAAAGGAGGTCAAATTACCAGTTAGTGTTTATATATCGACAACATACGACGTGTTTAGGAAACCTGCGCCTGGAATGTGGTACCAATTAATTGATGATGTAATTAATTTAATTTATTTTTAAACCGTTTAAATTGTGGAATTTTTGTTTAAATTGTGGAATTTATTTGCAGACAAAACAAAATATAGAGATGTCTGGTAGTTTTTATGTTGGTGATGCTGCCGGGAGGAAAGACAATTGGGCTCCAGGGAAAAAGAAAGACTTTTCCATGGCCGACAGATTGTTCGCAAGAAATGTCGGTGTAACGTTTTTTACACCTGAAGAGTATTTCTTAGACTGGAAAGTAGCAGATTATAAACAGCCTAGTTTTGACCCTAATACATTGCAGACACAGGATACTGATTTTACCTTCAATCTTTCTGCACAGCAAGAGGTTTGTCTACACTTTTTTATTTTTTAAAATTTACTTTTAATTTCAACATAAACAAGTAGCAGAATTCATATAAGCCTTGGAAAATATGCCACTGTCTTTCAGGTGAAGACTGTGGTTATTGAACACTATGTCAGGGCAACACTAAAGGCAACCATTTGTCCAGAGCCATTTTGGTTTTAATTAACACACTCGTTATAGCACTGATTTGTAGACACTGCTGAAAGGCAGATTTTTTTCCCAGTTTTGATATTTGCTTAGTATTATAAATGACCATTAATTAAAATGTTGCACAAAAAATTGCCTATTTTATTGGGAACAATTAATGAAAAATATGCCAAACAAAAACTGCGACGGAGTAAAAGTCCAAAGACATGTACGAAGAAATTCGTATGACATGCTGTCCTCAATTATACCTTCAAATGAAAGTATTTTTGAGAAAGAAAAAGATTTACCACCAAGAGAAATGCATTCCTCTACAATAAGATACAAAAAACATTATGGGGGAAATCGTTTTTCTTCAAAAAACCTATAATATGCTTCAAAAAACGAAAATGCGGGGTTTCTTAGAAGAGGTGTGATGTTCCAGTATGATGCCTGTAAGAACATGTTAAGGCTCTGTCACACATTGGGAAATAAAATCACTCTTGTTTGGAGTAATTAGCTAAAGAAAATTCTTTTAAAAATTTTGTGCCATACCAAATTGCCAAAAATATAGATCCATCAGACAGGTTAAAAGTGAATCCAGTTCGATGGACATTCTAGGACAAAGGCATGCTAAAAAGTTCATTGAAGGACCATTGCAGAAGCTATCGGCCGAACTACTATTTCTAGGATTTATTATAACTAGAATGATAGTATTGTTGACAGCAGAATCATATATTAGACTCAGAGCAGAAGATTTTCAGATTTTTCCTAGAAGAAAAAGAAACATTGAAACATATCCTCTATTGGTGTGAAGGTTTATGTAGGCTGAGCTTCCTTCTTCTGGAAGAGGAAAAGTCATGGCTTAGGATACACGCAAGAGCCTTTTAACAAAGCTTTGGGGTTTTGGTTCTTGCTTTCTCTTTCTTCTTGGTTCACTTTCTCCCAATATTTTCCAGTTGGATCTGTGGTTAGACAGGGCTGTGTCCTTAGCACCCTGCTGTTTTCATTATTTAATTATTTTCCTGATACTTTACATTTTGGAATTCACTGTTCTAGTGTAATAATTAAAAACCTTCTCTATGCTGACGATGTAGTCATTCTGTTCACCTCTCCATTTACTTTGCAAAGAAACATTGATGTTTTAGAAAATTATTGCTCTCGGAACCTGACACTAAATTTAAGTAAATTCAATATCTTAGTTGTTTTGTGGCAGGATGGTGAATAGGGAGCATTTTTAACAGTATATGAATTGATGCTGATTGATGATGAGAAGTATGTGCTATTCATATCCTAACTCTCTAACATTTCAGCTCAAAAAGAAAATGTCTATACCAAAATTTGCATGCAATTCGGTCTGGTCCAACATTCTCTGGAACACTTCTATTACATCTAACACGATGTTCAACAGTTTTAACCTCGTAATAACGCGTGACCTGTGAAACAAAAAATAGCATGTGGGGTCCCAAAAGGACCCCACTTCTTTTCAAACGTTAATGTACTAACTAGATTTTCCTTCGAACATTTCAATTACGTTCATTTAAAATAGATTGGAGTACGTAATAAAAGATTAAAAACTTGTAAAAAGTACTTTGACATATGTTTATTCAAAAAGCAATAAGTACTGACAGTTGTAAACGTGGTATTAGGAGAGTTAAGTTAAGGCAGTGTGTTGCTAGATGGCATGCTATCCTGCTTCCCAGGTTTGGAGGTACAAGCAGTTCAACCTAGTCGAATCTTTTCTTGCGTTTTTTTATTTGTAAAATATTTTGTTTATGGATTTTACGCCTAACTACTTGCTATACTTAGAGACATCAACTGACCTTTTATTCATTTACACACCATCAAACTCTACCTTTCACATTTAAGTGGGACACTCACACTGCCTGACTACAGACTTCCCAAAATTATGGAGGTTGAAATAATTAATGCTAATTTATCCTTGTTTAAGGTGCTCAGTTTAGTAGCCCATATTTTTAATATTAACTTTGTGTTCTCCTTTAACAACCATGAAGAATGGAATTGGCTCTTAGATCCAACATATTTATGTTCTACAAGGAAATTTGATCTGGGTCCCCCCCCACAAGGAAAAGGAATTTTTTCATTTTCACAAACGTTTCGGCCTTAATTGACCATTTTCATGTGTAATATTTATTCTTAAAAAAATATCACAATTTCTACATTATTTTGTTAGTTATATACATTAGTTTAAGTGTATAACTAGCAAAATAGTTATTTACAAATATAAGGAGTACATTTTATAAGGAGTTCTATATCCTATTAAAAACGTGCTTAGCACAATTAGATAGTTGGTGATATTTTTTAGGAATAAATATTACACGTGGAAAATGACCAGTTAAGACAGAAACGTTTGTGAAAAAGATAAAATGTCTTTTTTTTCTGAAAAACCCCTTCGTGTAAAAAGCGCAAAAAACGAAAAATATCAGCAAGAAAACCGAGGATTTTACAGTAAAAAATGTGGAAAAAAATCTTCAAACCAGGAATTTGATCAAAGACATTTTTAAACTTAATACAGTGATCTAAAATTGTCCTCTATCAATTTAAGTTGGTTCTTCAAATTTTGCTGTGAACTTAATAATTAACTTAACCTTAATTATTCCTCTCTAAGAGATTATTCTGTTGAGCACTGCTCACTGTGTAACTCCTGTGTGAGGGAGGACCTATTCCATTTTTTTGGCGAAATGCTCCATTCTTTCAGAGTTTCAGTAGTTTGTTTTGGAACTACTAGAGTTTTGAGAGTGTGTTTTATCGCAAAACTTAATTTTCCAAATTGTTCAGGTTGGTTTTGCAAAGAGTGCACTGGAGTGCTACACACAGCTGGTGGAAGTGTTTAATTTTATATTGAAAACCACTAGTTTTAATTTAATTTAATTTTGTTTACTAATTTTTATTATTGTTTTTATCTGTACATAATATCTTCTATTTAAGTGAATCTTAGCTGGCCGCCACCTCCAGCAGATAGGTTAGTAATCAATGCTGTATACGAATTATTTTTGTTTTAATTTGATTTGTACTTCCTTAGGTAAATGTATTTTCTTTTTGTAAATAAAGTTCTTTTTTCATTCATTCATTCAAGCATATTAAATAGTTCTGAATAATAATATAGATTGAACCAACATTGGTCATGGTGCGTAAAGAGGCCGACTCATTTTAACCTTAAACCTTAATTTAAATTTTCCTGACCACTCCTCATGAGTTTATTAAATTACTTACTTTTAATATTGTACCTTATATGAAAACTAGTCTACACACCTAGATGGCACTTAAAATCTCGATTTCACTAAAAAGTTTTTTCAGTTTTTCTCCCGTACCCTTCATATTCTTACTTTAATTATTGTAATTCACCATTCTAAGATGGATGTAACAAGTAACAATATATTTAATTTCCAAGTAAAAAAGTATTTGTTATGGTTATTTTACCTTTTTTAAGTCAAAAACATTTCTGGAATGTACGCAATCCTTTATTAAAAAATAATGAAAACTGTTAAAATTTTGCGTTTTATCACAGCTGTTAATTCATTTATGATGATGAGCATGAAGTTGCCCTCCTGCTTCTGAGGCACTTTGAGTGTTATATTTTGCTCTAGTTTTTTCACTTTTAGACTGAACAAAAAGTCATATCTATACTTGATGCTGCAATAATAACATGATAAAACTATTGGGTTGTCCGGAAAATAATGCAGGATTTTAAGTTTTCATTAAAAAAAATCTATATAAAATATTCTGTTTACGTTTACAGGATTACTCATTTGTATGAATGTCAACACTTATTAATCCTCTTCCAAATGATATTGTTTGTTTACCTCTGTAGCATTCCGCTACTTGGAAATAATTCAGTCATCCTTATAATGTCAAAGCGAGAATTTCGTACGATTTTCTTTTACGAGTTTAAACTCGGCCGAAGCGGAGCCCAAACGGCTAGAAACATTAACCAAGTCTGGGGCGAGGGTTGTGTTAATGAGTGCACTGTGCAAAGGTGGTTTAAAAAATTTCGGGAGGGAGATTTCAGCCTTGAAGATGAAGAAGGTCGTGGAAGGCCTTCCTCTCTTAATGATGATGTTCTGCGATCAGTGGTGGAAGAAAACCCCAAAACAACTGTTCGAGAACTTGCAGAGCAACTCAAAGTCAGTAAAACGACCGTCGCTGACCACCTCAAGGCGATTGGAAAAGTGAAAAAACTCGAAAATTGGGTTCCACACTCATTAAACGATCGCCAAAAAATCAGCGCTTTGATGTTTGTGCATCACTTCTTTGTCGAAACAAAAATGACCCATTTCTGGCCAGAATTGTTACATGTGACGAAAAGTGGATTCTCTACGATAACACTAGACGTTCTGGACAGTGGCTCGACAAAGGAGAAGCTCCAAAGCCCCCAACTCATCAAAAAAAGGTAATGGTTACGGTATGGTGGGCTTCATTTGGTTTAATACACTACAGCTTCTTAAATCCTGGCGAAACCATCAATGCTGAATCATACTGTAACCAAATTAATACCATGCATCAGAAATTGGCAGTAATGAAGCCCTCTTTGGTCAATCGGAAAGGGCCCATTTTGTTGCATGACAACGCTCGACCACATGTGTCACGTGTAACGTCACAAAAATTATTGGAGCTTGGCTATGAAACTTTGCCTCACCCACCCTACTCTCCGGACCTCTCGCCTACTGACTACCATTTTTTTAGACACCTGGACCACTACTTACAACACATAATATTCAAAAATCAAACGGAACTGGAAAATGCATTTATTGACTTTATCAATTCTAAAAATTCTGAATTCTACTCAGACGGAATTAATAAGTTACCAACACGTTGGGAGAAATGTATTGAGAGTATGGGAAATTATTTTGATTAAAGAACATTGCTTTAAAGTAACTAGTTTCTTTTTTTTTGTTTAATACCAAAATCCTGCATTATTTTCCGGACAACCCAATATGTCTGTGTCATCCCTATGAAATTTAGAAACACATCTAAAAAATTTGATCAAAATCAGACCAGTAGATTTCAAGATTACCTCTTACATACAAACAAATTTTCTCTCTTTATTATACATATTTTGTATTAATATTATAACTTTAGTGTCACCATGGACAAAAAATTCTTGAATCTCAAAAAAGTGTTGTCTCATGGGTCATGTGTTTATTATTAATATATTCATATTAATTTTGTTAGTTGAATTGATAATTTTATTAACTTTGATTTCAAAACCAAATTTTACTTTAGTTTATCTATTTAATAATAATTCCAAAATAGGCACAGACTTCTTTAATCTGTATTTTATGTTACTCATTGAATTAGTACTACTATTAGATTAATAGGTAAAAACTTTATCAAAGTATTGATAAATTGGTTATTATATTTTTTAGGCTATAGTGATGGTTGGGTCGCCTGCCTCGGGAAAAAGCCAGTTCGTTAAAAATCATCTTTTAAATAAGAACTTTGCCGTTATAAATATGGATACGCTAAAAACCTGGTCAAAATGTAAAAAAGAGATGGAAATGTTTCTGAGAAACAAGCGTAATGTTGTCATCGACAATACCAACCTTAAAGCTGAAAGACGAAAGGAGATTATAAACATATGCAGACAGTACAATGTACAAGCAAGGTGCTTTGTAATGAATTCTTCTTTAAACCATTGTCTTCATAACAATAAGGTGAGTTATATTTTAATATCTATTGTCATTACAGAATATCATGCAGGATATTTCCTTTTTATTTTTGTTATTGCATTTTGTTTTTTTTGTTATAGTTCCGTGAAATAACAGGTGTTAATCATATTAACATAATTAACCCATCTATAATAACGAATTTTTGGTACGTATTTTTATTGTTAGTCATTATGTTTTGTAGTATTTTACTGGCAGGTGGTGGGATCACTGTTTTTAATGCATTTTTTTTTGGAGATACTAGGATACTAGGTTGAAAAATAATGTGTCCAAACATTCTTGCTAATGACATAGTTTGCTGTCTTTGTTGTGCATGTATTTCAGGCTTATTTTAGATATCAATCAATTTTTTTTTTTAATAAGAAAATAATATAGAGGAGAGAGCTGTGATGAATTATTTCGTTTGGCGCTCCCCAGGCCTTATGATGAGTTTTTTTTCTCCGTTGTAAGATCTCTCATGACATCTCTTGGGCTAAGGTTGGGTCCAGTGTGTTTCTCCTCACCCTCCATCACCCTTTACACATATTACGCGACTAACTTAATTGAGGGTTGATAGATACTCAATTTTCCGCCATCGACCCTCCCACCTTACACATTCACACTACTAAATTCATTCCACTCTCAACATAAACTAGGTATATACAACTATTATTACTATATACAATAGAATAATCCCGTTTCTTCCAAGAATCGAAACAGGGGACCTAAATACTAGTTGCCATGCTGAAGCACAAATCTCAACTCGAGTGGCATTCCTGCACGCTCTCTGCATAGAGCCAAGGAATTGCACTCTTCAATTAGGTGCGGATTTTGGCTCAAAAGTAAGTGACTGTATGTCAACCTCGCATGGCCTATTCTTAATTAGGTGAGGATGTCCATGTTTTTTTATTGCATTCTTAGATGATGGTGCATTGTTCGTCACAGGGCCGGATCACGGTGGTTAAGTTCAGAGGTTGGGATGTCCTGGCCCTAGCCACCTCGTCCTCCTTTTCATTACTCTCTAGACCTATGTGTCCACCTACCCAGAAAACAACCAGTGTTTTGCCGAGACACTCCAGTTCGTATCTCTCCAACAAAAGCACTATGAAAGGGTCTACGAAAAATCTATGACGGACCGCAGTAACTATGCCGAGGGATTCGGTGCAGACTATGTAGGCAGAGCCACCATCATCTAGAATCACCCCAAGCACGTGCCAAATTGCACACAGTTCTGTCGTTTAATCGCTGCAGTGCAGTGGGAGCAGTCGTCAGTCTTAGACCCATCTGTCCTTGATCTAAGCTCAAAGCACTTAGCTTCTACTTAGGTGTGGCCGAGTGTGTGACTTGGCTAACATGGTGGACGAGTACAGCCAGGAGGACCCAGGGCGAGTTGGCCGATTGCCCAGCTCGAGTACCACTCCAAGTGTCATCCCTGCTTTCTTAAGGCTTCGCCGAAGCGTATTCCTAGAGGTCGCGTCTGGGTGTGAAGTCACTCATATATTCTACTGTACTGTCATTTAAGGATTGCACCCAAAAGCGGATATCCCGGTGCGGCAAGGATCCCCGCCGTGTAGCTGAGAGTGAGCTGATCCCTCCGAAATTCGGGCAGCAGGATTCCCAGCATGCAGCATAGGGTGGCCAAAGGGGCTTGTTCTGAATGCGCCAGAGACCGCTACCTGATAGTAGAGCCTATCAAGCTTTGCCATGCAATCCATAAAACAATGTCGAGCACAGCAACGAGTCAAATATTTTCAGCAGGATCTCCCTGTCCATTCCCCACCTGAAGTGACCGATCAACTTTAATAATTTTATTACTTTCCTTCCCTTCACCTCGACGGGGTCAATGTGTGGCTGCCATCTAAGCTTTTGGTCAAACGTGATGCCGAGGAACCTCGCCGATTCTACGTACCTTACCGCAACGTCCCTCAGGCAGAGAAGCGGAAAGCAGGGGGCCCTCCTCAGCCTGCAAAAGAGTACACATACAGTTTTCGACACAGAGCAGGCGAATCCGGTTTCCTCGGCTTTGTTAGCCTCAACGTTTATCACACAAGTTGTCAGGGAGATGGGCCTGCTACTTGAACCCCTGATTCAGGTCCCGCCCACCTTAAGGGCGGAAATGACCAGTCCTCACGCCTACGGTCGGGATACGAGCCCGTATGCGATATGTTGCTCAAGAATTCAAACAAGTTATGTTTCGTACCCTGGGGAAGGATTTGAAGCATTTTATATGGGTTACCCTAACGCGGCCTACAATTCTCCAAGCGTTCATTCTCCGTTATACACTTCTCTCTCACCGCCGACAAAGTAAGTCCGGATTCGTTATCTCTCGATTTTCGTTCTACGGAGGCTGTCGGAGTAAGCCACAGAACTTGACACGACTACGAAGTGCCGTGCCAAATCCGACACCTCGGTCATTTCCCGCGTTCCGTACTTAGTATTGGCACCGACGGAATTCTAGTTCGGCCAGAGAGAACGTGATCCTTTGCCAGGCCTCCCCAGGGCTTCCTTCACACACTCGCAAATCCTGCGGCGACGTGCAACGCAGGGAGATATTCCCAAGGTTCTGTCACTTGGAGCGTCGTAAAGGCGCTGGAATATAAGGGGAATAGGTAGGGAATCGGTAGAATGCCACCTAATCTCATCGGAGCATTTAGGGGTATCGAACGAGAGATCCAGACTCGCCAAAGGAATAAGTTGCCCATTCCGGCGAGTGTTCATCCTCACTTTCATCACCCCCTGGCCCGCGAGGCCTTCCTTAATTGCCTCGACGCTACTATTCAAAAGGTCCCGGCATGTCACACCACGAGAGGTATTTAACTTCTGATGTGGTGTTACCGAGAGACTTGTAACCTCGACCACCTTTTTATTCCACAGCCCTAGAATGAACTTTCCTTCCATGTTTTTGGTAATGTTGGTCGGCTTGCATAATTTCGATATCTCCTTGCACAGGAGGACGGGATATGTAAATGTGAAATTCCCCTCCCTCCGCGCAACGACATAATACCTTTTACATAGGTTTCGGCCAGTAGGGTAATTCCCAACAGTCCGAGCGACAAATTCCCTACTTCGGTTTTTACTTTTGTTTCGCTTTCTCTTGTCTTGTGCTTTTTTTGTCTTCTTCTTTCCTTCTTTTCTGGAGGTGTTGGGATGTACGGTTCCACCGTCACTGTCTTCTCACCCTTGGGTTAGGAAGTTTGAGGAGGTGAGCTACACTCGTCATTTCCAGTTGTGCTGCCTTGTCCAGACTCGGTGTTCCTTTCTCCAACAGCGGTGCCACCTAGCACATGAAACCTAGTTTAATATTTTAATACAAGGAACTTTGGGAGGGAAGCGCTCGTGTTGCTAACCATACCTCTCAGACTTTCCCGGAGCCACACGGCTCTTGTATCAACCCAGGAAGGTCCCCCCGCCCCTCAGACCACCCGCGCCATGGTCCCAGTCCGCCACCCCAACACATGTCCCAAGAAAAGTTCCCCTAGGGTGTGTATTAGTGTGCTTGTGTCAGTGTGTGAGCATACTATTATAGTACTTATATATTATTGTAACAGTATGCCAACCACTTATAAAAACACTCTCGGTTTTCCGAATATAAACCAAGGGAACTCCACTCATTTTAATATTATGTATAACATCTTGGTCTTTTGTTTTTTCCCTTCAATTGTGTTTCAAATATGTTTTATTTCAGGAAAGATTATGAAGAACCGTCCTTGAATGAAGGATTCACGGAAATAATTAAAGTGCCATTTATTCCAACATTCCAAGGAGACGACCACAAAAAACTATATTACATGCATTTAATAGATGTGAAATAAATTGTTAATAAAAGCTGTGAAACATGTGTTATTAGATTAATTAGTTAATTGTATTTGAATAAATAAAATTTTATTTATTAATGACCATTTTCGAACCGAAGTTAAATGGATTAGAAAGACTACTCTCCATTGTAGCTACACTTTGCTAAAGTTACTAAGTAGTCCGAACACTTCTTCTAGTCTTCTTCCTTGGGAACAATTGGTGGCTTGTTTTAGTCTTAAATGGCCATGATTATGTGGTGAAACATCTAAACAGAATTGAAATTTTCCAGTAAGACTATGTATTACGAAATACAGGGGACGACATGTCAGCACTACTTGACATGTGTATTACAGTAGATGTTAGAAGGCCTATAGGAAGTGAAATGTACAACAGGAAAGCTCTATTAAACCCGGCTGCAAGGAAGCTGATGGCTGAATTTGCCAGCATTCCTGCATAAAATAAAAAATATATTTAAAAAAAATGATACGGCGGGAAAAACGTTCCCAATTTGTTAGTAAAACAAGATATACAGTCAGTTAGAGAAAGATGCTTTCAAAAATACCATAAAGTTTTGAAGAGAAGAAGAAAAAATTGAACTACTAAGAAAACGTAATATTGCTGTACGTCGTAAAGGCAAAACTTAAAACCTTTTATTTCTCGCAAAACAAATAGTACATAAAGAAAACTTGAATGAGTCAATTTTAAAAACCTAAACCGGATCCTAATTTTTGGCATAAGCATCAATACTTTTCATAAATGTTTGCGCTAAAGTAGTAACGCCATACATGCAGCAACTCACGACAAACCGTCTAGTGGCCGGATACTTCCCTGCTGCCTGAAAGGCGCATTTTTGAAGGTTGGGAAGCTCGCAGACCAGCCGGCTTCGTATAGAATGATCTCCCTGCTGGTGAAAACAAAGGAACTGCTCATCCTGGCAAGACTACGCGCGACCCTCGACGCAGGCCTGCACCCCGGGAAGTACAGCGGGATGCCGGGGTTCAACAGAGCACATGACGTAAGACAAATGGTGGATGCGACTCAATTTCCTACAATTACGTGCTGCAACCTTCTTTGATGTAAAGAAAGCCTTTGACCGCATCTGGTGGCCCGCGGTGCTCGACACTGGTGAGCAGAGGGGTGATGAAAGATATATGTGCTAGTGTCGGACTGCGATTCTAAGCGAGTACGGTGCGAACTGCAATACAACAGTACAGGGTTCCCCAAGGTGTGCACTCGAGGGCCGTGCACTTTGACGGGGCACTGAGAAAGGCGGCCTTGGCGTATGTGGATCACCTAATTTGCATGCGTTTGGGGTTGAAATGACCTAGCTGTCGATAGCCCCCGTCGGAACTTAACCACGTAGGGAAGTGATGATCTCATGGGAATAATGCTTAAGGGAGAACTAGCGACCCAGCCACATAACAGGGTGGGTGAGCTATAGTGATGTATAGACACTAAGGTCAGCACATCGGGGAGTGACAACCCTTCGGGGTGAAAGTCGAAATACTATATATATTTTACGGGATAAATCTAATTTACAAAAATGTTCAAATATAGAAATATATGATATATAAAATATAACAATATGTTTTTTATATATGATATGTAAAATATAACAACACAAAAGCAAAACTAAGAAAAAGAAGGAAAAAATACTGAAGTGTTACGGTCTCTTCTTGATTCAACAAGACGGGCCCAAATTTGAATCCCGTTTATTAAGAACAGAGATTAAAAGAATGTTTCATATAAATATACCTAAAAAAACCACATTTCTCATTGTCAAGCAAATTTTTAAATTGTCATTGTAAGTTAATATATAATATATTATACTAATAATATAAAAAAATTACATAAAAATATGTTGATTAAGTAAATAAAAATAAGAGTATTTCGTGCATACTTAGTTGAATTATATTCAGAAAATTTTTTAATTAGAAATAATATCAAGTTAAATATGGAAATATATACAAGTGTATACATACTTCTACAAAAGTGAAAGTTAAACGTGAAAAACCTTTTATTGTTATAAAAATAATGAAAGATAATTTAAGTTAAAATATACATAATAATTCAAGAGTTAACATGCCTGTACAATGGAGAAAAAGGAGAATTAAAAATAATAAAATGTGGATAGTTGGCTGAAGCAGCCTTCTGTCAATAGGAGTATTTTTAGTAGTTTTACTTGTTAGTAGAATGGTAGTAAGTATGAAAAAGTCTGTTATGCCTGGCCAAGTAGATTTGGAAGAAAAGTGGATGTTGATGATAATTTCTATTAATTATTATTTTTGTCGAAGGTGTGTTAAATTGAAAAAGTAAGTGTCGCGAGCGGGATACGAACCCACGACTTTCGGCTTTTTAGGAATGTTGTAATTAATATAACGACAAAATTCCATATACTTAGTTTGAAATAAACTACAAAAAATATGAGTGTCCTATTCTGAAGATACTCGACGAAAATGGTGTAATTTTATGAGCAAAACCATGAAATAAATTGTTAGTTAAATTTTATAAGTAAAACCGTGTAATAAATTTTCATTTAAATTCATTATATCAAAAAATGGTATTCCGGTGTTTTGAACAATTTTCTACCAAACCATTAAAATTATTTTTTTAAATAAAAACTAATGAATTTTTGATCTCGGTTAATTTGGTTTATGTTAAAATGAGTATGTTGTAATTAATATAACAACAATAATACATGTAGTTTGAATAAAAGTATGAGTGCCCAGTTCTTTTGTCTTCGACTGTACTCGATGCGACCCGACGAAATTCTGGACAGTGGGGTTCGCAGACAGTAGAGTAGGGTAGCGTAGCATAGCATCGGGCAGATGTGGGGTAATACAATCTTATGGAAAATTGGACCCAATTAGATAATAGAAGTACCCAATTAGATAATATGTTCCCCGGCTTAACCAATTGAGCTTTCGTGATTTCCATCCACTCGAACACAAACTCTCATCTCAACCTACAACCTCTGGAATTTTTCCTTTTTTGGGGAGTGGGTTCGAATCCCGTTCGTGACGGTAACTTTTCAACTCAACCAAGACCTTAGATAAAAAGAATAAATAATTGAAATAATTAATATGGTCAATTATGACCAGCTAAAAATGTATGGATGGTAATAATGATGAATATGGATACTTGGAAGTTGGGTACTTTCCTCAAGCGCTGCAGCCTTCTGGTTTATTGTACTTTCCTAGTTCCTTAGTTAAGTGCAGTACACTTTATCTTTCTCCTCAGGAGTATTAGGTCATTGTTGCTGTAATTCCTTTCCCTGTGGTATCTTCATTGAGCAGTTGCTTGTATTCTAAGGTGATGTCAGGTTCTTCCTTATTATTGTCTAATCTACAAATGGGCTCATCAAGTTATGAAGAAAAGTGTAAGTTATGGAATCAGGTCCTTCACGAATGTTTGTTTATTGGTGGTTTGTTTAGATGTGGAAGGAATGTTAAGGAAATGACGGAGGGCTTTGGATTCTTTGAATGTTGTAAGGGAGAGCCCCCCCCCGCTGCTCGACTCCCTAAGGACAAATCTGTCAGATTATTGGTTTGCATATTGTTAGTTTTGTTGTGTACACTTACGGATTAAATAATTGTCTGAATTGTCTTCGGTTGAATATTATATCTAATTAAAAAATATTTCCAGGCCTAGGGAGGTGAAGTGTCTATGCCAGCAGAAAGCTGAAAGTCTGAATAAGTTACCTCCTCCTTTAAACTAAAAATAGGACATAAATATTAAAATACGGTCCACTAAATTGACGTGAGACCTGTCAATGTAAACAAAATTTTTAGTTTATTTTCTACCCATGGAAGATGTCCTAGATGCTTAGATCCATCGGTCATGCCCATTCTTGTTACAATGCAAATAGATTGATGGTACTAGTCACTCAAGCAGTTCTTTTTGCGAAAATTTACTAACATTTGCATTTGATAATAAAAAAATTACATACGAAATAAGAATAAAGAGGTTGTTTGAATTCCGGGTAGTTTTAATTTTTTTAATAATGGGGTCAAGTCTAGAAAAGTATTTCAGCCTGTAATACGTCTTTGCCGAGTATGGTGTGCTAGTTAAACGAACAAAAGCCAAGGTACTAACCACCGTAATAAATGCTACCAGGGGCTCGAACAAAGTTATTTTTTGTTTGTCTTCCGTGTAGCGTATTGTTGTGTCTCTGGGGAAATGGTATATCACAGGATTGCTATTGTTAGCCTAGCCTTCTACCAGCTCTGCATTTATACTTGCTTTGGACTTCCTGGGAAGGAATAAAGCTTCGTATCCTTCCGTCCCTCTCCACCTAGCCTTTTCCCAGGAAATACAAATTACAAAAGGGTCGTATTTTATTTTCAACGAGAACCGTTATACGTGCTAGTTTTTATTCAATAGTCTCTTGACTCCGGGCAGGATACATAATGAATATGACGGTTTTTTTAAACTATTTCGACCGAACTCTTGTCCCATAATATAAAGTTACAGTTTAATTAATATTTAATATAATATCTTTTAGCTTAGGAAGATAAATAGTTAATTTGAAAATAGTAAAACATGGTAGACTTGTATTATTTTGACCCTATAAACTTGATAGATTGTCTAAGCTTTTGTGATGTCAATTGTATAATATGTTATAATAATATTTTTTACAGGGAATTAATTATATATGGAATCATACAATGAATAGGTTATATCTATCTATCAATCCCTGAAGTTCTGGCGTTTTTGAAAAAAGAAGAAGCCAATTTGTAAATACTATGTACGAATTCATCCAAGGCTGCTGAATGTCCATTGGGTTATCTGGTTCATATGTCATCTTCAGTTCTTACGTGGCATGGTTAATTCCGTTTTCGTAGTTTTACCATTTGCACATATCTGAACTGAATACTGATATATACAAGCTTAAATCTGTACGTGCATGTACATACATACACACAAGTACACAGTTGAGCTTATCACTTCTCGTACCTTTAAGCTCGTAAGTAATTTAAGCTTTTTTAATTTACAATAAATTACCTGGCTTCAAGAATCACCGACCCCGAGTGTTGGCAGTCAAACCTTGGTCTTAA